TAACCTCTCTTGGCGACGCTATAGTGGTGGACATTGCGGATGGCGTTGATATCAGCAAGCTCACTGTAGGAAAGAGGGTCGCTTTACTCTCGGATTCCTATAAGTTGGAGAAGATGCTACCCTCGTCGGTTGACCCGCTGGTGTCGCTAATGATGGTCGAGAAGGTGCCTGACAGCACGTATGACATGATTGGTGGACTCGACCAGCAGATCAAGGAAATCAAGGAAGTCATCGAGCTTGGCTTAAAACATCCGGAGTTGTTCGAGTCGCTTGGTATCGCACAGCCAAAGGGAGTACTTCTCTACGGACCTCCAGGAACCGGCAAAACCCTGCTTGCCCGAGCGGTAGCCCATCATACCGATTGTCGGTTTATCAGAGTGAGCGGATCGGAATTGGTGCAAAAATACATCGGTGAAGGTAGCCGCATGGTTCGCGAGCTATTCGTAATGGCTCGAGAGCATGCTCCCAGTATCATATTCATGGATGAGATCGACAGCATTGGATCCAGCCGCATAGACTCGGCGGGTTCGGGTGATTCAGAGGTACAGCGGACGATGCTTGAGCTTCTCAATCAATTGGACGGATTTGAGCCTACCAAAAACATCAAGATCATCATGGCCACCAACCGGCTTGACATCCTGGACCCGGCCTTGTTACGTCCTGGCCGGATTGACCGGAAGATTGAGTTCCCCCCGCCGTCGTAAGTATTCCTTGTGACTTGGCTCTTGTCAGGTGAAGATTATGTTACGGTTTGCTAATCGATTTCCGTCTTACAGGGTGGAAGCACGTGCCGATATTTTGCGAATCCACTCGCGGTCGATGAACTTGACGCGAGGCATCAACCTAACGAAGATTGCGGAGAAGATGAACGGATGTTCTGGAGCTGAACTGAAGGGTGTGTGTACGGAAGCAGGCATGTACGCTCTGCGAGAGCGGCGAGTACATGTTACTCAGGAGGATTTCGACCTAGCCACCGCCAAGATCCTCAACAAGCACGACGACAAAGAAGTCGCGGTCTCCAAGCTTTTCAAGTAAAGAAAGGTTGGCGTGTGAACAGTACCAGATTACTACAGCAAGAACTATTGGCATTAATTTTCGATGTTCTCTGATGGCCGCCTCGGCGACATCGCCACATATGTATTCCAATCATAACACCCACACATAATTCTTCCCAGTGTCCTTTTTGATGAACGGGTATGTTTGTGTGTGACGTTGAGGTCTAAGATGGGCCTCCCTGCGCGCATACAGTATCGTAATCGGGGTTTGTTAGCGGTCGGGTGGACGCGAAAAAAAAGTCTTGGATCTGGCTGTACTACTAGGCATAATTACACCCTTGTGACTGAATAGTTGGTAGACATACGGCCCATCATTAAGTGTCCGGAAGGGTAAGGCGAAGCAAACCAATGAAGTGCGTCTTTCATCGAATGCTCAGGAGATGATCATCTCGTCATCTACTTCACATAGTCAGGCATGGCCTACATTGTAGTACTTGGGCAATACTTACTGCGTGATTACCATATTTATTTGGTCTTAAGTCTGGCATTGTCTACTGGCGGATGAATGGATGAACTACATGATGCTTTGATGATCGTGTCATAGGTCTTATTCATGCCCAATATCTTGTCTAACCCGGGGAGATGTGCAACAATCGCCTCCCCTTTCCCCGGATGTTTGTATGACGTATGCCGTATGGAAAGGGAGCTTTTATTGGGGAGACTGCAGCGCCATGCTTCTTCAAGACCGATCAGGGGAGGGTGAGGTCTTAGTGAAATGTTATCAAGGTCCAGGCACATGCACTGTGGCTGCTTACCTGCCTCTTTACGTGATTGCAAGAGTTTCTTTTTGGGCTTATAAGGGAAGTACAGATCAGCTAGTGAGTAAGTACTAGTACTGTGTGCTGCAGTGATCGACAAGATGGTAGCAAGTGAGCTCAACTGACCGCCAAGAATCCACTACTGACTGTATAGTACACTTATGTACTAGATTGATATGTACTATGCCGAAGTCTACCTACTCTCTGTCTGTCCATCGCCAGGAATCTTGTGCAACACCAGGCTTGGCAGAGGGATGGGCAACATGGATTCGGCGACAGCCAAGCCGCCAAGATGGACCTGGAATAAGTAGGGTTTGCAGGGGAGGCAGTTTGACTGCGAGGTGATAGGCAGATATAGTAAAATTCTTGTGAGACACGTATATCTGAATTAGCCTGTACAATGGAATAGGCCCCCATAAACATACTTCGGCATGTACGGTGTGCAGCTGCAAGGCTAGGAAGGTTTCGTCCATTTTACCACATCTTACTTTCAAGCTCCGCGTGATCAATTAGTATGGAAGTATGAAAGGTAAAAATCTTAAGGTGACTCTGGGGGTTTACAGGATGACGTCTGGGGTAGCTTGGGTCAGGCCATAGTACTGCACAGGAGGAGATGGCATGACATGTATTTTGTTGCTTGTGTTGGCAGTGGATCGCCAGCATCTACGCGGAGAAAACATGAGCAGGTCACCGCCTATTATACTTCTAGATAATACTTACTACTTTCAAGGAACTTCGCCATCCATTTACTTGGGAAATTGGGACTGTGGATGATGTAAATAGATATGTTCCATGTAACGGACTACTGTAGAGACTCGGTCGGCGTTAAAGCAGTGCCCATAACGCCTAAATGTATTCTCATCCCTAGCATCGTCTGGACGTCCGGAGCACAAAGTCCGAAACTCAGGTACGGAGTAATGATAGGCTTCATAGCGGCTTTCCAGAATCCCGACTGGCCGGTTGATCTCCGGTTGACGCGTCGAGAGGAAGAACTTTGACGTGCGCGTGACCAGCGGGTCCTTGTCTTAATAATCAACTAAATGTGCTGCAGTCTCTTGGGATGGGGATGAATTATTACTACTCTGTACAGTAAAATAACTACAGTCAGTAAGTACTCCGTGGATTACTGAGTACTAGTATTGTTCTGTTGAATGGAAAATGCTCAGGGTCTCGGCTCAAGTGGGGCAGTCCAGATCTGATGACCTTGCCAGAAGGTGGATCACTTTTCCTTTCCCCCCCTTTTTCTTTCTGGATGGTTATGGACTAACAGTTAGGTCTCCATTTTTCCACTCCATAATAGACAGTCTCGTACGAGAAACCGGGAAAGGCAATGGGGTGGAATTAACGGAACTCCTGGGGGAAGCGGGGATGATTTTTACTTTTGGATAATTAGGAAGGCACAGGTCGCTGTACTTTCCCAAATCTATCTACACAGTACTACTACTATATCTTTGGTATTTCATTATACTCTTTCTTCCTCCAATTTTTCTTTCCACTATAGTAGTGCTTCTACCTGGTAGTAGAGTACTTACTAGTACTACAGTAAGTACTAGTCATTCCATGGTATTCTGGATAAGATGAAGACTCTAGGAGAAATTATTTCCATCTGCCCCAAATTTCTCCCTCGTCTCCCCACGGAATTCAACCCATCTGGGACAAGGCAGCTCAAATAGGTAATCTGCCAGGACGCCGGCCTCGGCAGCCATGCAGTGGTCACCGTCCATCTTTTTTAATTTTTGCCAGATCATCATCATCCAGCCTAAACTTTAGATCCCTGTCTTAGCTATTCTATTTCTGATTCAATATTATTATTTACTATCTTACTTCATTTCTCTGTTATCTCTTCCAATAAGAGAGAGTTGTCCGTTTTTATGTCATTTACCTTGTTATCCGACTTATGTTGGGGTATGCTTATCGGCTTTCATTTTCCGTCACCGTTTCTGGTTTATTATGTAGTCTATCTAGTACTACCTTATCCGACTTGAGCTTCCTCACCCCCTGTCCTCTTTGTTTCCTTTTTGACTTAATGATAATCGGAGGAAAAGAGGGCTTGGCTGGACAGGAGGCAAAATGCATTCGCCATCCGGATAAGATGGTCCGCCCTTTGAAACCCCCAATCACACCGATGCTACCCCCCCTCTTCTTAGATAGCAGATAGTAGTACTACAGCGTGGTACAGTAGTAAGTTGGTGACTGGCTAATGGCTAATGCATAATCTACTAAGTACGTAGTTAGCTGTTCTCATTCTTTCCCAATTACCCAACTCTTACCCCCTTCTTCCCGGGGGGAGAAAAATTGGTGTGGGCCTATCCTTTCGGTTCGTCTGGAGTCATGCATGGTCTGGCTAGTTAGGTGATCTCTGGCTGCTTCTTCTGCTCCTTCTTCCTCTTCTTTGCCTTTGCCTTCTTTTCCCCCTCTCACCCCCAACCTGCGACCCACCCTGGCGGATTGGATGAATGCTTGGCCCGTCTGATGATCTGTCCGGAGTACCGAGTACAACCTGCAGCTCCCATCTATCTATTCATTCTCTCAGGCCCATCCGAAGTAGATCACTGGCTCGGCTCGCATGGTTAACCTCCCCCCATGTAAGTCGCTGCTGAGGTGAGGATCTTGCCATCCTCTCGCCTTCTTGCCCATTGTCCGTTTCAAGTGGTTGCATGAATTTAGTCTGCTCTATCCTCTTGGGTTCCCACACCGGCTTCCTTCTTTTGGCTCTCTCTTCATTGCCGTCTGTGTTGTTCCTTTAACTTTCTTTTCTTTTCTTTTCTTTTTCTTTTTCTTTTTCTTTTTTTTTTTTTGCTATATAAGAATAAGTATTTAACTGCCTCCTCCCCGGCTACTGTTGTTAACGAGGTCTCCTTTTATTCCCAAACCTTCTTGCCTACAGGCTCGTATGCACCCCTATCTACGGCTCTTTATCTTCCCTCCCTTCCCCGTATTTGAAAATAAGCTCTAGAGGCACCCTACCCCCAATTCCACCGGCATTCTAGAAGCCATCTTCCCTCCCCTTGAAGCCTTCATCTTGCCTACTGGTCCTTTCACCCGATAGGGTCCCACGGACACGCTTGTTCAGTCACTTCTTTTGTCTACTGGGTAGGTAATATTTCGTTGTTCGTGCTTGTTTCAATATCCGCGAACTAGTAACAGAGAACACTCATACTTCATCCTATCGTGATGCAGCCTACACATTGACTGTCCTGCGCAAATCGGCCCGACCAGCCCGTCAGAGGAGCGAGAAGTACTATATACATCCAAGCATTATATAGCATTTCTAGATCCTATTATTAGCCACCCTGCCCAACTACCCAAACAGCTGGCCTGAGTGGTGCAGATTGCGCACGAACAACTTCCTGATCGTCGTCCACTAGTCCGGTGATCTCATTCTTGTCGCATTGCCACTCTTCCTTTCACTGCCCCCCGTGACACTTCTTCTTTTGACGCCCAGAGCCTCTGTATAACTCCCTAGTATGTCCAGCGGTGAGCTATGGTCCACATTAGTCACCGCAATCGATCCCGGTAGTACCAAAGCCATGCCCATCATCCTTCAATCGACCATCCAACTTCTGGAGACAGAACTAGCCAAGGCTAGAGCGGCGCTCCATGAGATCCAACCTACGGCATCCTCTTTATTTACGAAACGAGATGAGCTCGCTTTGGGTGCCGTGGCAGCATATCGTCAAAATCTCATCGACCGTGCGCCGGACTTTTTCTACGGCGCGAGTCGGTTGACCCCCAAGGAGCTGGGACTTGTCCCGGCTGTCCGCGAAGTACAGGCGGACGATGATGAAGATGATCATGTAAAGACCGCGTCCAAGCAACACCTTCGGCCTGTCCAGCCAATTGCGCCCAAGCGCGCTTCTTTGGCCGATGTCTTATCCAACAGTCTAATCCTCGACCATATGGCCCCATATCTGTCAACCTCCTCATTGTTGGCTCTAGCATCTACTTCCCGCCAGGTTCGGTCATCAATAGTGGACACTCCCTACATTTTCCGCCACCTTGATCTGACCCAATGCCGTGGTGCGAAACCAGCCAGCACATCTACGACAGACTCGGCGGAGCAAGTATGGAGTGGTGAGCAAGGGGAAGACTCCGCAGTCGAGGATGAAGTTCATTCTGCGCCTCTGAGGGGCATCTTTGCTAGTCTCCAAAGGCAGTCGATCCTGCAGGACGTGCGCACATTGGTTCTGGATGGACTGTCCGTTCCAGCGGATTTGCTTGCGGAAATTATCTTCACAGATCGCTTCAACGTCAACATTCTATCTATAAGGGAGTGCCGCCATCTCAATGAGCGGAAACTGATGCAGGTGCTGACCCATGCGGTACGGCCTTGCCGCCCTAAGGGCACACCCCGCGTTAAAGGAATCTATCACTTTACTCCCCTCCAACAGTCTCGTGCGGTGATCCGCAGCAGATTCCGCGACTGGTGGAGCTCGAGATGTGGCAGCCAATCGTCCATTACTCCGAGTCCGGAAAACGGATCTGCGACTGGTGAAGTTGCTGAAAGTGCCACACAGCAACAGGATGCATGGTATCGCTCGTCCGGGCAGCTCTTCAAGCGGAGCATTGAGGATGGCTGGGCAGAGACAATTAAGCAGTGTGAAGGTATCATTGCATTTGACGCTGTTTTGTGCCGTGGTCCTCGTCACGACGTCGATCTTTCCACTCCCATGCCCGAAGGCCAGAGTGCATCTCAGCCAGAGGGCCGGCCGCCGCTTGCGCCAAAACTGGCAACTGTTGCACTAGGACCCCGAGGATGCGATGGCTGCCACACCTCACCCGAAGGCCCGACCTTCTGGGGCCAGTCCCCGGATGAAAACCTTCCCCTGCTGACGCCGCCACCGCTCCACTCTTCCTCTGTAGTCAAGGCAAAAAGGCCGGTGTGGATTCCGGACGAGCAGCCAAGTCTAATCGCTCGCTGCACAGATTGCTTGACAGATCGGTGGTGCCATCGTTGCAATAAATGGTTCTGTGAGGATTGCCTGCCTCATCCAGAGCGTGTACGGAACAATCTTTCGCCGCACCAGACAGCGTTCAGAAACCCGCAGAGCAATCTGGGTAGTACTGAACAGTCCGAAGATCATAGGGTTCGTATCTGAGAGACGCCGTATGATGTAGAAAAATTGTCTGACTAAATTGAACAGCAATTCAGCCGCGGTGTAAGCAAAGATTGCTGGGAATGCGGTCCAACGGTAAGTCAATGAGACTACAGTTATGTTTGCCGCTGTTCTAACAGCTTGTGCAGTGTGTCCAGTGCAAGACGGAATGCCAGCGAACTTGCCAAAGCTGCCGTGGTGAATATTGTGTTGAGCACAATGAGGGATGTTCGTCGACGATGGTATGCTCCTTGAGTCACCCAAACCCCTTTTGCGACTCTCATTAACCTTGTTGGCATTCTCACAGTGCGATTGGTGCAATGCCAGTACCCGGCATCGAGTGAGAGAACTGTACTGACATCCTGTCCGAGTCGAGGCTCCCATGAGTTAGTTTGGAGCAGACACGCAATTCTGAGATCCTTCAAACATTTAAGTATTCTCAACCTCTCTCAGCCTGATCTCATCTTGCTATATTGAGGCTTTTTTTCTTTTCTTTTTTTTTTTCTTTTTCTTTTGGTAGTACTATATTAGCCGGCGTGCTTTTCTCGCCACTCAGAATACCACTGCAGCGCGTATGATTTAGCCATAATTTGAGTGTATCTAGCTTGAAAGGGTTGTAGGCCTTGGGAAGCAAGAGGAGGTAAAATGATGATCGTTAACTGCCAAAAAGTGGTAGTAAGATGGAGTAGTAGTAGAGAAAGTGGACAGTAAACAGACTGAAGTTAGATGACAAATCGGCGCTTGGAGTTCCAGAAGGCACGCGGTGTTTCGTAACCTGAGATGAGCCGCAATGGCTGATGTATGCATGCATTCTTTTCATCATTCTTCGCCTCCCCCCGCCCACCATCATTCTTAATCTCTGATTCTTGACCCATGATGGTCTCCGCTACTGCCCTCGTCTCCACTCTCCCCTCCACACTCTCCTTTCCTTTGCTTCCTCACATACCTCTTTCCCTCCCGCTTCGGATATCATGACGGGGAACCAAGGTTCCTTGCGCTGGTCGTCGCAATTGACCGTTGCTCCAGCCCAGCAAATCCCCAAGCTTTCCGGCGATAAGATCATACTGCCGCCATCCGCGCTCGAGCAGCTTCTCGCGGCTGCCCCGCTTCAAGAGGTAACTTCGTCAGGTCCAGCACGCCCATACACCAGCACTTTCGATCCTTTCAATCCGCACACCTTCGCCGCCGAGTCCCAGGCGCGCGAACGGGCGGTGGATCGCCAGCAGCAATTGCCCCATCCGCTTACGTTCCGCATCGTGAACCCTCAGAACGAGCGGGTGGTATATGCTGGCGTTCGTGAGTTCTCTGCGCCGGAGAACGAGATTGGTCTCAGTACCTTTTTGCGCGGGGCACTTGGCATTGATGCCACTGGACGACCGTCACCACACGATGATGATGGTACTGATGATGAAGTGACAGACGATGCGCCAGCCGCCCCGACTACGGTCACGGTCCATGCGCAGCAGTTACCAAAAGGTACTTATGTCCGTCTGCGTCCTCTAGAAGCTGGATACGACCCGGGGAATTGGAAGGCTTTGCTTGAACGACAGCTGCGGGACAATTACACCACATTAACCTCTGGAGAGGTCCTCACTGTTGCAGGGGGGCGCGATCAGTCATTCCAGTTCTTGGTTGACAAAGTTGAGCCTCATGGGAATGGCATCTGCGTTGTGGATACGGACTTGGAAGTGGATATTGTCGCCTTGACGGAGGATCAAGCCAGAGAAACGTTGGAGAAACGATTGGAGAAATCTGCTCGTGTCTCTGGGAATAGGGCAGGCACATCTGTTGGGGGCGAGTTGCGACTTGGTCAAGTAGTAACTGGCCAGGTTGCGCTTGGGGACTATGTCGACTACGAGGTCCACAAATGGGATCCTACGAATGCACTGGAAGTATCTGTCGAGGGTGCCGATGAGGCAGATCTCTGCCTCTTTGCCAGTCCCCTTTCTGCTCACCAGAGGAACCGACCGCGGGAAGACGAGCATGTTTTCAGTGACCTATCTAATCGGCCGACTAAACGGATCAGGATCCAACCGACGAATGTGGATATGGAAGGTGCTGAGATGCTGTACATATCGGTACATGCACCCACTTCCACCGCCAGTTCAGAAACTGGAGTTTCGGCGCTGCCGTATAGCCTACAGGTTCATGTGGGCTCGTCACCCGCACAAGCTGAGAATGCTGCAGGTATCGAGCCAGAAAGCCGTGAACCGGGTGATGTCCAGTGTAAGAACTGTCGTCAATGGGTACCTGAACGGACATTGATGCTACATGAGAACTTTTGCCTTCGAAACAACATCCTCTGCCCCCAGTGCCAGAACGTGTTCCAGAAGCGGTCTTCGGAATGGCAAAACCATTGGCATTGTCCTCATGACTCGGCTTATGGCACCGGCGACGCGGAAAAGAATCGACACAATCTCTTTTTTCACAGCAAGCGCTCCTGTAGTAGCTGTGGATTTGAGGCGGAGGACCTCCCACGTCTCGCTCAACACCGCACAACTCTCTGTCCGGCCAAGCCCATTTTGTGCCAATTTTGTCATCTTGTGGTCCCTCAAAAGAGTGAATCAGACCCTGAGATGGATGATCCGGACGTTTTAGTCTCCGGGCTCACACCACATGAATTGGTGGACGGTGGCCGGACAACCGAATGCCACCTTTGTGACAAAATCATCCGTCTTCGCGACATGAAGATGCACCTTCGCCATCATGATCTAGAACGCCTGTCTCGACCCACTCCTCGCATATGCTTAAATAAAAATTGCGGACGGACGCTTGACGGACGCGGTACGCAGACTGCAGTCAAGCTCGGTCTATGCAGCATCTGCTTTGGACCACTGTACGTAGACACCTACGATCCCGAAGGCAAAGCGCTCCGGCGGCGCATCGAGCGCCGCTACCTCTCTCAAATGATGAGCGGCTGCGGCAAATCATGGTGTCAAAACGAATACTGCAAGACGGGCAAGCAAGCTAGACCGTCTTCCACATCTGGTGTGTCTGCTCCGATGGGCGCGGCTGCTATTCTAGCCGCAGTGCGGCCTTTGCTTGACGCCGTCAATCTTCAAGGAGATGCGCCGAACACCGCTCCTTTCTACTTTTGCACGGATCAGGCAGGCCAGCAACGTCGTATTGCTGCAGAAATGCTCTCAGCTGAGGGCGCAGTAGCTGACGGCAAGACCTATGCATTGCCGTGGTGCGTTTCCGCCGTTGAAACCACGGCGGGGAATCTAGACAAGGCGCGAGAGTGGTTAGAAAATTGGGCGCCTGCGCAGGGGGAAGGCACGTATTCACTTCAGCGGTAAATAGAAATTTGTTAATATTGTCAAATACCATGCAGAATATTATCAGCCACTTAAGCAACAATACTATTCAAGCATTGTGTATTCTCTCACGTGTTGAATGCGGATCACTATCAATGTTAGAATACTATATCTAATGAGGCCTGCTACGCACTTGTGGCTGGAAGATATCCCTCAGACTTGATATTATATTTGAACTCTTTTCGTGGACATCTAAATTCAGAATTTATAAATCTACGCAGTTCAAGGAACAATCCATGTCTCCTTAAATAGTATGTATAGAGAAAAGGGAGAGCTTAATGATTCGTTGTCATGATTTCAATCAGATATCGTCTGTGCATGCTTGCATGTATAATATGTATCACGCCGCGCCCGTCTTAGCAGCCAGAGTCCCACTTCCCCGAGACGAAAAGATACCCATGATCCCAAAGACCACATAAAACAATGCCAGTGGGTACGCGACTAGGCCCCTCATTCCACGCATGCGCGCCACAGCACAGAACATTCCCGAGGAGCTGTACGTGCACCACCCCACGGCGGCGGTAGTCAACAAGTATCCGAACAGAGTGTCCATGGGGATCAGGATCCCCACTAAGCTGGTCAGCACTAGCGGGAGGAAACAGTATCCCAGCACGCTAGCGGATCGAGGGAAGGTCAAAGTAGCGGAGAAGTGGCCGGCAGCGGAGGAGTCCGACATCGTGGGTTTGTGATGGGGAGAGTAATTGGCGGGATCTGCGGCGTTGGGGACGGGGGCCGTATCGAGGGCGGGAGACATCAGACTGAGAATGAGATGTAAAGCTACGGTCCCGAAGACTGCGACGCCGTAAATGTAGCCGTAGAAGACCTTGCCGGAGAGGAGCAGGAATGTTCCATATAGGACGATGTAAAGAAGGGCTCCGTAGAGGTCGCTGTCATCCATGAGGTGTTGGTCGATACGCGCAAAAGGGTTGAGCACAGTTAGGGTCTATAAGGTAGGAGCAATGGTAAGCTTGGGTTTCACTAGAGCTCCTGCTGTATATAGCTGGTTGATCAGACCGGGGGGTGGGGGGCTTGCAATATGTACACACCTTCGTGCGGATATGCTCGAAATTGACGCCCAACTCTTCTAGAAGTGGTGGCTCCCCATCGTAGCCCTCCGTGCCAAATGCAGCGAGCCATCCAGTCCTCAGTCCTCCTTGCTCACCCATCCGTCCACTGACTCCCGCAGAAGGGGACCCGAAGCCGCCATATCCGCCACCAACCCCTCCGACGGGGTATGCCTGAGATGCTGGGTTAGGCGCACCACCGAAACCGCCGTAGGATGCCTGTGACGGGGTCGTATGGCCCGAGACGGAGGTATAGGATGAAGGGTAGAATTGGAGGTTTTGCGCCGATGATTGTACGCCGTAAGGCTGCTGCTGGGGGTAATACTGGGCCATTGCGGCCAGGCTTTGGGGTCGATGTCGGATTGAAGAGATGAGCAGAAACTGTACGACCTATTGCACGTGTCGGAATGTCGCGCTATCGACTAGAAGAGTAAGCAGAGGGGGAGACAGTGGTTTGGGAAGTTGAGGATGGAGTTGGAGACGAGGAGTTGCAAGTAGAGAGAGAACAGCTGGCGGGCGGTGAGATGAGTTGCCTGAGTCCTCAAGGCCACCAGCCACATCGTTTCCTTCATATCGCTACAGATATAATTATTATTTGTATACTTAACAAGCCGATAATCGTAGAACATCAACGCTTAATTCATTCATGCTTCTAACAGGTATGGGAACTCCCTTAGGAAATAATAAAAATATGAGCAACTCTCCACAGTCTCCCTTCCCCCTCCTCTATCTAATTTGTTACAGGGTCAAATATTTTCTACAGGAAATTAATGCCGATTCCAAACTGCAGCCCCTTCCGGCCTTCCTCACCCTTGCGGAGTACCAGGGGTAGGGAGAAGTTGAGCTCGAACCTGGCCACTGGATGGGCGTAGACAAGTCCGACACCCGCCGCGATGCTAGGCAGACCGTTGGTCAGCTCGGAAACCGTGGAAGCCATGGCATTCTGGACCTCCGCTCCCGAAGTAGGTGCGTTCTTGTCAGCCGTGCGGAGGGACAACAGCCGTCCGCCGTTGACAAAAGCTTGCAAGCGGAGAGGCTTCTCCGCGCCTACCCTGGGGAGCGGGAACAGAAGATTGGCGCTTCCTGCAGCATAGACATCACCACCGACAGCATCTGCTCCATCATGGGGGCCAAGACCGCAGAGACGGAATCCACGGACATCTGTAGGGCCTCCAAGTAGGAACCGGTCGTTCGTGCGAGAGAGCTGGGGTTTGGAGTCACTATCGAGGCCAAGAGGGTAAAGAAGGCCGGCGCGAAAGCCAGTAGTCAAGCTGATACCACTGTCCCCTTTGATGCCAGGAATCGGAATGGGAACTGCAGCTTGCGTTTCAATCTCCGACTTCCAGAAGGAGACATCGCCCTTGAGAGGGCCCCAGCCAGCCACTTCGTTGAACAACTTCGCGTAGTAACCACGAGAGGGAAGAAGCGGGCTATCTCTTCGGTCCTTGGTCCAGCTGTGGAACACGCTGCTCTTGACACTATCGCCTGCATCAGCTCGAACAGTAGGCGATGCGTTCTCGGCAAGTCCAGTCATCTGTCTCCAGAAACCGTTGTAGCCGAATTCATGTTGTTGACCGGAAGGACTTGCCCAGCGGAATTTGGACCATCCTCCTCTAAGCACCTCCTCGTGGCTCGCCCAGGATTTCTGCGTCGAACTGGCAATACCACCAAGCTCGAGACGGATATCTGGGTTACTCAGGACTGGGGTGTCAAAGGTGGCCTGATAGGCAGACCTTGTTCGGGTGCCCAGAGACGCATTTAGGTTCAGGTTCTCTGCACCTCCGAACACATTACGCCACAGGAGGTTGCCATAAGCCGAACCTTCGGCATTTCCAAGATCAGTACCTGTCTTCAACAGCACGCGGGACCTTTCTTTGCCGGAGAGATGAACTTTAATGCTCGGGATACCCGACCCGTCTACTTCGGACTGGTCCAAGTATACCGAAACGGGTTGTTGGAAGATGTCTAAACAAGATATTAGAGTCGAGCCTTAAGCTAGCTATCGTCAGGGAAGGGACGAACCGAATCTGTTGAGCTTGTCCGCACGTGCCGAAACTTCCCGCAAGGCCTCGGAGAGCGTATAGGGTCTGTCTTGATTACTGCTCAGAAGGGGATCGAAGATTCGCTCCAGGAAGCCTCGGCGGGTGTTGCGAGCGCCGTGAACCTCTACCGAAGAGATAGTGCATGGCAACGTGGAGTTTTGGTCGAGCTGATATTATGCAAGCTCATAGGTCAGCTATCATGACGCACGATATATAGTAGTAGTAATGATCATATCCATGGCCCACAGCCAACCATGAGGGAACAGTAGCTTACCAATTCACCAAGGCGAGTCTGCGCCTTCTGATAAATGGCACGAACGCGCTCATCAACTGCCTGCTGCTGCTCATTCAGCACTTTCGGATCGGCACGCTGTTGCAGGCGCGCGAAGATCTAGAAGAGAGAACGCCGTTTGTGGTCAGTGCATAGTGCCCGGGGGAATACCTCAGGGCTAAACTAATGGGGATGCATCACTAACATCTTCGTCATCAGCAGAAAGTGGGGAGGACATTGCTGCGGCGGCAATGGCCAGATGAGACCTGCTTTTCCTTTCCTGCTTTCCCTTCCGGAGCGGCGAAGATGAAGCCATCCGCCCTCGCACGTGACCGTTCCCCGAGGTGCCTCCGGGGGGTTCCTTACAAGCCAGGCCGCAACGCAACTAAAACCAACTATAGACCCAGATCTTCCCTCTCTCCCCTCTCTCCCCCATTCCGCCATCGCCTTGGTGTCAGATAGCGTTTGCCTTGCGATCTGCTCCTGTCCGCCCCTTTTGACTTCGGGCCAGTTCCCAACAGCCCAGTCTTTGTTATTAATTCTACCCTTGTCGCCCCTGACCTTCGCTACTTTCGTTCTTTTGTCCTTCCGTACTTCGCCCCCCTCTCCGATCTTATTGCAAACAGGCCAGAACGAACTATAAAAAGGATGGCGACAAAAGCGGCCTTCAAGCGCGTGCGTTGCGCCCTTATCAAATCAAAGGGAACCATTCCATTGCATTGTATAACTAACAGATGAACAGCTTACTCGCGAATACCAGAACATTCAAAAGAACCCCCCGCCTTACATTGTGGCACATCCGTCGGAGTCCAATATACTCGAGTACGTCATTTGTAGCACCATCACTACCTGCGTCGTCTGTTTGCGACTAAAGTTGACCTTTCATCTAGATGGCACTATATTCTCACGGGACCCCCGGGCACACCGTATGAAAATGGCCAGTATTGGGGTACCCTAATGTTCCCTCCCGAGTACCCATTTGCTCCTCCGGCTATTCGCATGCACACTCCTAGCGGTCGCTTTCAACCATCAACTCGGCTATGCCTCAGCATCAGTGACTTCCATCCAAAGTCATTCAATCCCGCTTGGGAGGTTTCTACCATTCTCATCGGCTTGCTCTCCTTTATGACGAGCGAGGAGATGACCACCGGAAGCGTGAGCGCATCGGAGGCAGAGCGACGAGTGCTGGCGGCGCGGTCTAGGTGGTGGAATTCTACTGGTGGCGGTTCCCATGTCAGCGCGACCCCAGGCGTGACCCCTACTGCCAAGGGTATCAACAATGTGAAAGCTGGAGACGGCGGTCTAAAGTTTCGCTTGGAGTGGCCAGAGCTTGACCAAGAAAATTGGAGGTGGATGAAGGATAGTCGCATCGACACCAACACTGGTCAGCTCATGCCTGATCCTAGTGCGACTAGATGCTCTCCAGAGACAAGTGCGCTTCGCCGACGACCGAATGGTAGCACTCCGGGACTCGGCGCGGTGATGGAAGGCGGCCATGTCGCCCGAGAAGCAGGCCAAAGCTGGGTCCGCCGCAACAAGATCTGGCTTGGGTTTGCAATTCTATTCGGATATGCACTTCTGACCAGGCTGGTGAAGGATGTCCAAGGCTAATGGCTGACAAGGTCGAGCTGGCTCGGCTTTCCGCTCCTTTTGTATATTTCAGATTGCCCAATTAAGCGTTTGATCGGACATGCAGACACCCCCGAACGATTTCTCTTTCTTATATTGTCTTTTTTTTTGCCCTTCCCAGCCAGTGCTGATTCTGATCGACCTATTTCTTCGAGGGACCCCGGGTTTCAGTTTTCTTGTTTTAGTATAGTGGTCCGGGAGAGTTTGTGCAGATATTTCTGGGCTTATCTGATTTTTCAGCTACTGGAGGGCGTCGGGGGATTTCATGTGGCGTTCGAGACATTCATCAGATCATTTATCACTTCTCAACCGTTTGTCGTTGGGTCTGTTCAATCCCAGCCTTTTGCGTCTTGGAACATGCGACTGTTGTTATCTAAGAGGTCGCCCAAGCATAATGGTGAGGATGGTTTGGATCCGGATGGAGCGAATACTTGTACATAAGCAAGCCTGCGTAACAGTTAGAAAGAATCACTCTGCCAGGCGTGGTGGCCTCCACAGTACCAAGTACTTGTTTCTGCTCTGACCGCAGCAGTGCCTCAGGCCTGCAGAGGGATGTCAATCAGCTCACGCCTGATTGGCTGCGGACAATGGCGGAGATAACCAGGATCACGTGGGCGGCGGGCGGGAATTTTCCGGCTTGCAAATAAAATCATTTCGTATCGCCGAAATTACTGTCGATACCGTCGCTATACATCATCGCTTTCGTCCTCGCCCTTTGCTGGAGATATTTTTTGACACCCACCCCACTCCCTCCCTAGCATAGTTCGTCCGGCAGTCTGTCTTCAACTTCTTCCTCCTCTCGCCTAAACTTCCTTTGTATTCCATCGCGCATCAAAAATGGGTTGGTTCTGGGCAGACTCTCAAGCAAAGCCCGCGCCCGCGGCTCCGCACCCTGTGCCATCTTCAGACGCCTCTCCTCCCGTAAGTAAAAATGCTACTTAGGCGCAGATGCAAGAAATCTGACGGATGATTATAGCCAGGATGTCCCATGCACGCATCTAACACCACACCGGCAATGCCAGCCCCGTCACCCGCCTCCGAACCTCCCAGTGCCTGTCCGGTCCGGTCTACAGATTCCCCGTTCTATGTGCCTCCGAAGTCCAAGTCCCCGGAGTCGCAGCCTCCCTCGAACCCAGCTCCCAGCTCCGATTCGCGATCTACGCTGTCAAAGCTGAACCCTCTCAACTACATGTTCGCCTCGATCTCCCAGGAAAGGGCGCCCAACCAGACTGTGGATCTCCCCGTGGAGCGAGAAGTTTCGTCTATCCCCAGATCCGATATGAATGAGAACTGGGAATATCCTTCCCCCCAGCAGATGTACAACGCCATGTTGCGCAAAGGTTACACCGATACCCCGCAGGACGCCGTCGAGGCCATGGTTGCTGTTCACAACTTCTTAAATGAGGGCGCTTGGGACGAGATTGTTCGGTGGGAGCGTATATTCTCCAAGGGCTTGGCAGATGGCTGGGAGAAATGTCGTCGCGGAGAGGAGAACATTGCGATGGACGAGTTTAAGGAGCAGATGTCCAGGGCTCCCAAGCAGGATGTTCCTCCACCGCGACTCATCCGATTCCAGGGTCGCCCGCACGACCTAACGCCCAAGGCACGGATCCTTCAGGCTTTGGGCTGGGTGTATCCTGCCAAGTTCGAGTCAGTATTCCCATTAGGTCCTTTTTTTTCTATTCCGTTTGGGGATTTTTAACTAACATTTGCCTGTTACTATAGATCAAACCCACCCTTCGATCGCCACGATTGGTTTGTAATGCGGCAGACGCCATCCGGCCCTAAGGAAGTACGTTATGTTATTGACTACTATTCCGGTCCTCCCGAACCCACCGGAGAGCCTGTTTTCTACTTGGATATCCGACCGGCCCTGGACACCCCAACTGCCGCCGTTGAGCGACTAATGAGATGGGGAGGGGATGTCTGGTGGCGTGCCAGTGGCGCCTCCGTTCGGGAAAACTAACCGACTGGTTGGTTGATCTATCAATCAGTTGATTATTGTTAGCATCGCATAGCCGCAATCTTCGTCGACACCGTTCAGCAGGATCTCTTAACACTCTGGGAAGGCGCAGGCGTCTGGTCTCGGTTCTTCGTTCATTCTCTGGAACCGCCCTGCTATAGTATTGATGTTCTTGTTCGTTCGGATCACTTGGTTTGCGCGCCCCTCTCTATTCATTTCGGCTATGTCTTTATTATAACGTCATGTGGATGCTGGAGTATCAGGAAAGTTCGTCGTCAAATCGGACGACTGGGGTTATTTCTCTCTATTGGTTGCATGCTTTTTCTGGGCTTTTAGTGCCACCCTCTCAGCTCCACTCTCTTCCCTTCATGTGGAATTTGTCTTGATATTAATCATCTTGATTTGTAATATATATGAGTTCATGCTGCCATCAAATCGTGGGCGGTGATATGGAAGGTACAATCCGTTTTTGTAAATATCTATCGTAATGCTGTGCATAAGTGACTGGCTACTATAGATTAATATACTGTACAAAATGGCTTTGCCTCGGCAGTTATTTCAGCTCAATCCGTCATTTGCGTGAGGTATTCCGAGAATACATCACTCGAAACACGACTGACAAGGAAAATCGGTACTAATCGTGCCAATTGTGGGGAGTAGTGGAAAGCTCGACCACCCGTGCTATTATGGGTATCTGTCGCTCAGTGCCTGACGGCGAGATAGGTATCAAGGTCGACCTCTGTGCGTATAGAACCGAGGGTATACATCGCATCCCGAATTTCTATTACGTCGTTCAACCATCATTGGGCTGATTTTGTGTGTTTCTGTCTCTAGACTGCTTGGAGAAGCATGCGGGTGCTGGCTGTGTGGTTCAATCCTTGCCCTTGCATCTGCAATCATATGTTGGGCGATAAGAGATCGTATTTGACACACTGCTCGACGGTTTCGAAACTGCTTTGGAGCAATCCGCGCGCCTCCAGCCCTACCCATACGCGAAGCATGGACATGTCGCCGGACCGGACGGATTTGAAAGAGGTAGTGTTAGATCCCAATTTCCGTAAAATGGGAAGGGAGCTAAATAACAAATCGAGTCAGTCAGTGGGCCATTCGAGGTAACAAAGCCAGAAGGTCTACCTACCTCTTGAAAAGATCAAGGTTGGGATCCAAATTACGTCCAATGCCCTCAAGGAGAAGACATGAGATAACGACATTAACAAAGTCCCCCTCGAGTCGAACGTGATGTTTACGGACCATGGATAGGACATCGCTCAGTACATCTCCAATCTTGACGCTACCGAGAGCAAACGTGCGTGACTTAATGTTTAGCACCAGGTGTTCCATGCCCAGAGCGAAGTAATATGGGTCAATCACTGCATCCGGTTGACGACATCGTTCGACCATAAGCTCACCTGCTCGATACCCGTCGAACTCGGCAATGGCGCGAAATAGGTCAATAAAATTGCGCCGGTTAAGCTCATTCAGTTGAGTCACTAGTCCAGTGTCGATGAATATGAGCTGGGGTCGATAACCCTCAGTATTCAGATCATCGAGCGCTTTCACCCAGTCGCGCCGATTATTGATATGCGGGCGCAACCGTGCGAGCACAGATTCTGTAACATCAACCTCTTCCACAGATGGTGCCTCCGATGCGCGAGATTTATTCCCCAGTGACAGGTTCAATTCACTCGGCCGGTAGAATCGAACCATGATGTTTCCGGGGTGCAGATCCGCATGGACGAAGTTGTCGATCAATAGCATATGGAGAAAGGCATCTAAGCCTTCGTTCGCGATCTCTTCTTGATAGACGCCTCCACCTACCTCGAGGAAGGTCGATAGTGGAATACCTTGTGCAAACTCCTCCACGAGCACCTCGCGGGTAGAATAGTCCAGATACGGGTATGGGAACCAGGCTGTGGTGCGTGACCTGAACTTCTCACGGAACATGACAAGGTTTGTGGCTTCAATCCGTAGGTCCAATTGTAATTTCATCATTTCACCAAACTGATGAACTTCATCCGGTAAAGATAGCCAATTCATGGTAGGTATGGCGTTGACTAAGGATGCGAAGAACGACATGATTTTCAGATCTCTGTGAATCACGCGTTCTACCCTCGGATGAAGCACCTTGACGGCTACATAGGACGATGGTACCCTTTGAGGAGAGCTCTTGACTAACGCCCCAACGTTCTTTCGTACCTTGTCTCGTATACCATGTGGATGAAGGTCGATGTCGTCATCGGTCCCCGCAAGATTGGGCTTGAGCTTCGCCTTGTATACCTGCGCGATAGCGCCCACGCCCAATGGTTCTTCTTGGAATTCCTCGAATATGTCCTCGAATGGCAGCCAATTGAACGCCTTCCTTATTGTTCGCTTTGTTTGATGCAATGAGTGTGCAGGTGCATTGGAATGCAGTGATGACATGATGTCGCAGAGTTCCGGTGGGAAGATATCGGTACGTGAGGCCGCCCATTGTCCAAGCTAGATGAAGACCGCGAATGAGTAAAGCACGGAATGAAAGAGCTCGACAACTTATTATTTACCTTGATGAACGCTGGGCCTGCGCGTTCCATAGATCGGACCAAAAACCTATACCACCAGAGAGCCCCTGTGCGTATGCCCTCGCGATCCTTCAATTGCTTTCCAAAGCATATCGTCGGAGCCGTAAGGATGACAGGTAGGAAGATTATGACGAGATGGACAAACCGGAAGCCCGTCGCAATCGGATCATATATGTAACAGTATGTAAAGACGTAGAGTGTCTGCCAGATTCGCTTCAAGCCTCGCGCGTCGTCGTCGACGGTCTTTCGTACCTCCTGGCGCGAGACTTCCAGCATCTGCATCTCGCCGGTCTTCCCGTTGTCGTCATCTCCATCCTCGGCCAGTTGTAGGAATGCTCCTGGCGTCATAGCAGCAATGAGAACAGTTCTGATCGAGGGGCCTCCCCTCGGGGGTCTTCGCAAAGGCTGCTGCGTCCATAATGGCCTGCGCGCGAAACGCAATCGAGGCTGCGGAAGAAGGCGGGACAGTAGCAGTGGATTTCTACCACGGCTTAAACAGAAACGGCTCGCGAGGACGGCCGTCCTCATGTTCTCGTAAAGACACCGGCTCGAGAGCAGGTGAATCAGTCATCGAAAGCACAATAGCTGGTCTGGGCGGTCATAATAAAGGCGAGGGAGAAAGCGAAGAGGAGATGCGCTTGCTTTGCTTTGCTTCTGGTTGTTTGTTGGAGTTTCGGGATGGACAGGAAGCCCAACCGGCGGGCCAAGCACGTGGGGCGACGTCATCGAGTAGTACTTGTTCTCTCCTACTGCTACTACGTAGTTGTGGTTTAGTAGTTCATACGATTTCTACGCATTCATGCAGGCGCCCGCTTCACGATCATCTTTCATTCTATGGAGTCTTCTAATTACCCGGTTTTATCCATTTGACTAGGAAAGCTCATCCAGAGCTTACAAAATCTTTGCAGCCAATACCGGCCGGCAAGCCACTGTCTAAAAATAATTTGTATCAGACCAGAGGTGACATAAGAAGGTACAAGATGCTGTTGTGAGGATGGATAGGCATGATGCTCTCTTAGCCATTTACTGTTGGCTTGGAGTCTTGAAGATGCCTGGACACATGGCTGTGCATTAACTGCTGCATGGTAGATTTATCGGTTTCGGCAAGCGTGTCGGGCTAGCAAGGGGGCGTCAATACCAATCATGGCTAAAATCTTGGTTCTGAGAATAGACTTACATCGCTCTTCAGCAACTCCTGCACCAGGACAGAAATATTGTCACGATCTTTCTTTGTCTGCAATTGTTCGGTCTCCTCCGCGGGTTCAGAGGCTTCTGCACTCAACGTCTTCTCAAGCAGTGGAAGAATTTCCATCCTTTGTAGGGATCTTGAAACTGCCATGGCGCCCCCTTTATTGGACGCCATAAGGGCCATTGCGAACCAGCCTTCACTCCGGACGACAGGCCACTGTAATTGGGCGATCATAGCACCAACCGGCAGCGCGATATCCTCATGTAAGTCGAAGAACCTGTCCAGCAGGGCAACAGCAGTAGGATCCTCTTCCCGAGACTTTGGCACCAATGTACGGCATATGGAGGCTACAGTGCGTCCAATCTCTGTTTTGATGGGTGTAGAGTCTGTCTTCTGGAAGAGAGCAAGTAGCAAAGACAAATACGTCCGTTCGTCGTTGGAATCCGTGCCGTCCCTGGGGAGTCCCTCTAGGAGACGAGAAATATTATCAACCGCTGCCACTATCACCTGCCGTGCGATGCTTGTGGCGGCAAACTGAACCTGGGGGACGGACTCGTATTGCCATAGACGTGAAACCGCTTGGAGTATGCCAGCCTCTCCAAGTACCAGCCTGTTATTACCAGCGATCGCAAGGTTCTTCAAGAATCCAAGCGCAGAGTGTAAGACCGCGCCTCTAACATCACTCTTAAGGATAGATATTAGTTCTTCATGTATTTTCAGATCTTGAACCATCCTTTCGCAGGTCGCGTCTGAGCGAGCCAAGTTGCCCAGGATAACACAGGAGCATATCTGCAGCTGGTCATCCGTCGACATTAGCCACGTCTTGAGAGACTGGGCCAGAGGGGAATCCAGCGGATAGTACTGCGCGAATGAGGTGGATCCAGAGATCTCCGCGAGGATTTGGTTGATCTTCAACCGTGACTGTGCTAGTGCCTGGGTATCCTCAGCAGACGAGTCAGTCTTAAACGTCAGTGACCGGCTGAGCACCCCCAGAATGTTGGGCACAATGTAACTGGATATGCAGATTTCTTGGAAGCGCGTATTGTTTAAATATGTCGCCAGGCCACTGACAAGACCGGAGAAACGGGCAGGGGTGGCGACATCTTCGTCAAGAGCAAGTTCTACGAGAAGTGAGATAGTCCCATCGGGAGACGAGGCGATTCCTTGCTCTGAACATTCCCACAGTTAGAATAGAAATGCAAAAGGTGGGGCGGGGGAGCGAAGTCATGCCTTGTTCTCCAACCAATTCGATAAGCTCAAAGACGTAGTCAAGCAGGGCATCCTTGTCCTTGAATGCACCGTCTTTCACTAGTTTCAAGAGGATATAGACTATCTTATCGGCAGCTAACTGTGTCTGAGCAGGCCCTATGAACCGTCAGCATCGTCACTAGCTTTGAAATCCGAGCAGGGGTTCCAATTACCGAAGTCGATGCAAATGTTATAAAGGACAGGGATTACCACTTGAATCAATTCTGGATTGTTTGAGTGCTGTACAATAGCAGCCGTGTAATTGTGCTCCACTACAGTCTCTCTATTCTCATCTGGGAACTATTAGAATTGAGCTTTCTTCAAGTTTCCGGGCCAGGGAACTCACTAGTGTCAGCACAGGAATTGCCGACGAGCCGTAACGCATGGAGGATGACTCTGTTATCAATGGTCTCCTTCGACGCTATAAGCTGAAGGAAGAAGTCGAAAACCCCAGTCTTGCCATAGGATACCCGCCATAAGGCTATCAAACATATTAGCTAGGTGACAAGATAATAGTGCTTGGTTGATGGTGATGATGGTACCACCGAAGTGGTTGATGACTTACGGGCTCTGCTGCCATTCGCCATAGCCTCTGCAGCTGGTACTAGGTAAGGTGATCTGCACTTCCACAGTTTCTGAAGAATATCTGGAGTCTCTTTCAGAGCGTCCGAAACGTCTGCATTCTCTGCAGCTTTGAGGCATTTTTGCAGGGACTCGAACAAGTTCTTCTGTTCTTCAGATGGCAACGGCTCAGTTGCCGCAAGTGTGGAGGCCGGTGGCAGTGAAGCCAATTCGGAGAGAACTTGACTGAGAGGGGGACATTGTACTCTATGAGCACTCCCAACTGTCCCTGGGTTCAAGTCAGATTGATGGTCGTTGCTCTGCATGCTCCCTGGGACGTCAGTCCTGCCACTAGGGGGTTCCATTTTCTTGAAGCCCGCTTTTTGGTCGGTATGGCAAGCCCAAGCTAGGTGGTTATTGTAAGACAATAAAAAGGCGCTGTCCTCTAAAATTTGAGGCTATGTCAGAGTTATGAACTGCTCAATCATGAGGTTGTAAATGATTGCTAGGATGAATTCTATAGAGTATCGAGCGACAATGGTGTTCTTCAACTGATCGGAGTTAGCGCGAGAAACTATTGCACCCGAGGAATCCAAGGTGCAGGTAGAGCAAATAAAATGCAGGTGGTGTATTCTCGAAAGTAGTAAGTAGGTACTAGTACTGACCCCCTGCTACTCCAGAGGCTCTACTTGCGAGAAGAGACAAAATCTCCAGATTGAGCAATTTCTGTGATCCTTTTACTTGTTTTTCTATTCATCATGCCAAATCTAACATTGCAAAGATAATCCATGCTTTTACATTCTATACCTCACAGCACACAGCACTCACAACATACCAACTAACCACGGGACAGACGCAGGTCTCTAGTTTCCAGAGACTTTTACCCCCAACGTCATGAGAGGGGGGAAATAAATCTACCCCTCCTTGACCCTTACTTACCTTGTCAGGTACCCTGCAGTCTAGTTTAAATAATACTTTGATGAATCAATTTTGTGTCCATAACCAAGGAGTAACAGAAACTAAACCCGGATTGGGATGGCGTACGGCGACCCGACTAGCCCCGAGCCGCAAGTCCAGACCCGCCCCGATATGGCAACTTGGCCAGGCGCTCCGTACAGACAGACAGAACAGACACCAGCTTAACTCTCCCGCAGTCTCTCATTCTAAACCCGGGCAACATTGTAACATCACTTCTACCCTCTTTTACTTCAGTTCATCTTGACCAAGACTTTTTCTCCTCGAATTTACACAATCATCATCATGACGCGTGCTCAGCAGACTCTCTCCGTTCTCCTTCTTGTCTCCTCGGTATGTTACTAGCTCCGTCTAACAAACACGCTGTACAATTGTCGCAAACCACGTCACTAACCAGCATAATTTCCACCATGTCCAGCTCTACCTAGTCCTCTACCTTGGCCTCGTTCCTCTCAACGAGACTGTTCAGACTGAAGTCATCCCTGTTGTACGTTGCCCCATCGCCCACCTCTGCGACCAACAACCCATACCACCCCCTCCATCTACAATATCTCCGATCCGCAATTCCATACTCCCAACTTGCTAACCATCACACTTCATCTTCTACAGCTCCCATTCTACGCACTAATATGTTTTGGCTGTTATCTTCTCGGCCGACTGGGTCTGGCCATCCTCACATTCAATGACGTGCCCGAGGCGCATGAAGAGCTACAAAAGGAGATCGAACAGGCCAAGGCCGAATTGCGCAGAGCGAATGTCGATGTCGATTAAAAACAGCGAATCCCTCACTTCCCCAATACCATATCAGTTTATTTTCTTGTTGATTCGGCTGGTTTTGTGCAATATGGTGGTCTGGTTTACTCGGATGGGGGCGGTTTATTACTACTAGCTTCTTTCAATGTTAGGTTTTCCTGGGGCAAAAGGGGCCCTTGGAGCATTGTTCCTTTGATGTTCTGTATGTGGGGGTGTGTTTCACGCCATTACACTGAAGTAAGCTGTTATATTAGTCTGGGTAATTGGGTTTCAGCGGTCGAATTCGATTTTGTGTTTTTGTACGTCTATGCATGGCATGTGTATTACTCGGGAACTACTGTTGATTTGTGGTGTTACTCCCCTATCTGGGGACTCTTGCATTATGACACATTGCCATCTACATTCTATATTGAACGCCAAGGAGAAAACGAATTGTTTCGAAGTCTGTGTGAGCGAACCTGAATCGCAACTGTTGTTAAGAGGCAACACCAGTCTATGTGATTTGAAAGATACGCAGGCGCTGTTCTTGAGCAGAATATAAGCTAAGATCTTCATCATTCATGGTACCAAAATTGCTTTTGTTCTATCAAATAAACCCATCAAAACACCTTTCCGTAGCAAACCTGAAACATGCAAAACTCTTCTTCCAATATCTAATGGGGGAACGCAGCATATATGCAACCAACGAGAGCCGGTATCTATGCGTGGATGGCTTAGCCAGAATTTCTAGGCATGGAAAAGACGAGGTAAAAGAAAGTGGCTAAGCGAGAGCAATATCGCGCTGAGTGGAAGAAGCTCAGACGAGAGGGTTCTCCTGAGCCAGTCTGTCGTGCTCGTCAATGTCCCTGTGCGATGAACATGTTAGCATATATATATCTATAGTCCGGCGCTTTGTCCAATGACGTACTTAGCTTCCCAAGGATAGCAGATCCAAACATCAGCGGTGGTGACGGAGGCGTGGTAACGGCCAGAAGTCATCATATCCTCGGGCAAGACACCCTTCTTCGGCTTGTCCTTGTTCTGAAGAGATTGTTAGTTGTATGAAGGATATAGATTCGCCGAAAGTCACGAAATCGTGATAATAAACGTACGTGAACAACGTAGACGAAGAAGTTTGTCTTCTCGCCTTCACGGCCGAGCTGCTTTTGCGCAATCTCAACGTCCTTCTGGAGCTCGCTGACGGCATATTCGAGGGTGGTACGGGTATCGTCAACTTCGTCAACAATGAGGATGTTCTTGCCAATGAGGTTGGCCATTTCCAAGGAGCTCAGGTCCAGCCATTGGGTACGGGTGACCTTGGTTCCGGGAACTTCCTCAGCGTCACCACGACCCAGGTCCTCGTAGAGCGACAGACCGATGGCCTGGATGGGGATGTTAGGCTCGCCAGTGCGCTTTAAGAAAGAACTGTGTGAGAAGTGAGCGTCAGAATAGGGTTCCTGAAAGAAGTTGTGTTATATTCCGACGAACCGGAGAATGCGGGCCGGGATGTAGCCACCACCGCCGATAGCAATCATAAGATTGGGCTGGAAGGTGTCCAGGATCTTGTCAGCGGAAGCCTGGCATAGTTTGTGAACCTGCCAAGGACATTCGGATGTTAGCGGATTGTTGCAAACTGAACGGACAGGTGTGTGACGGCCAAGCTAGGCTGCGATGTAGGCATGTGGCCAAACGACCGAGGAGTATGAGCATGCAAGACCGGCAATGGCAGATACGCCTCACACAAGCCCGAAAACCAAGACCATCTACATGTGGCTGAAGGGCTCGGAAAATGTAGAGACTTCGAAAGCAACCTGCATACCTGGTTGTACGTGACATAAACCTTCTGAGGCATTTTGACGGCGGGTGCGAGGGATTCCCAGGAATTGACCGATTGAAGAGATATGATAAGTAGTGTTGGAGATGCTCAAAAGGCTTGACCGGAGGTCAGGAGCGTGTACAAGTGAGATGGATAGGTGAGGATACTAGTGAGTACGGAGATGGCAAGATCACATATGAGGGGTAAATTGGAACCCAGAAATTTTTTTTTTCCTTTTCGTTTTTTTACCCCTCGTTTTTTTTACTCAAATTTTTAAATTAGGATCAAAGGAACACCTGCGTCACAAGCTGGATAACTGGATAAGGTTCTCTGCCGAGTACTTTTGCCCGCCGGGCTGCCACACGACAGAGACAGATCAACTCATGGGCCCATGGGGGACTTTACCATATTCGGGATGCGGGGACTGTATTGTGGCCTATCAGGGTGTATCTTTATGCGCTAGTAGGGGGTCTGATTCCAAATTGAGTATGGTCTGTTCCTGCCATCAGTAATGGAAATCAGTTGGAGAGGCGGAGGACGGAGGTCTCCGTCGCTAGGCGGCCTCCAAAACAGGATGTTCCTGATATGCATACTCTTGCGTTCTTCTGTACAAAGCTTCTTTACTAGTTACGTAGATCCTATGCTTATTACTGGAAACTCATACTGCAATTTCAAAATATACACCTGACTTAGGTTAGTTCATAACCTTACAGTAGGAGTAGTGTAATTCCCTATCTAGTTCTGTGGCGGGGTATTCGGACCCCTCCACTAAGTAGGAGTCTCCCCCCTCACTTACTACACATAGTAATTTTTGACCAAGAGAACTTTTATCGTCATTCGGTACCCGATTATATGCATCTTATGGGTATATATGCTGCGCTAAAATGACCCAAACAAGAAAACCTTCGAAGATTTCATCCCATCTCAATAACAACTTCTATTTGCCTGCAAGAGCGAGACGTTGGCACCCCTCTATACAGGTGTATTCTCACCTGGCGACTCAGGCTTTATTCGGTTGACCTCAAAGCCTCCTTCATCTTTATCTTCTCCTTTCTGCGGCCAAAGTATTTGGTGATGCACGATGGCACGCACCATCATATAACAGACGAAGATATACATCAAGATTAGCGGAAACACCATAGCGCAGCCGATGATGGATATTGCCTTGCAAGAAAAGGCCTTTCCAATTGCGAAGGTTGCCGTTATCAGTGCCGTGTTCGGAAAGACGAATGAAAACCATGCCATCGAAAAGACCATCCGGCCCGGTCCAATGGCAGACCAATGTGCGAAGCTGGCAATGAAGAAGAAGAATATTGCTAACCTGAAGCGCGTATCAGTACGAGATTCGTAGAGACATCCGAGGTAAAGGGGGCCAGCCATTCTTACCCCCATAGCCATAAACAGGAAAAGTTAGCAACAACTTTCACAATGTCTGCAGCTAATGCACCATTGCCCATGAAATCCTCCGGGAAGCTTCTTTTGGCATGAGCTGCCATATTGACAATCCCAGACACAGTAAACGCACTGGGACCAACCGATACGAACATACCTGGTCGGACATTTTCTCGGGGGAGCTTTTGCGACATCAGCCGGTAGATAAAAGCCGAGTACACCATCAGAGATACCAAGAAGCCAACGCCTTGGATAGTGGTACCACCAATTATGATTCGCAAAGAGCGAGCAGGCTCAAGTTTGGAGCTCAGGATCCCAGCATGAGGGCCTATTATAAGCATTGGGTACGCAGGGAAGATCCAAATAGGTGTCATTTGTGCAATTGTAAATGTCTGGGTCGACCACCTACAG